CACCCGTGGGGTCCCTCGGCCTGGCCTGCACCCTCTCGCCATCCGGGACCCCCCGGGGGATGTCGGAGAGCCGGTTTCGGCCCGATCCCGCAGGCCAGGCAGAGGGACCCCACTGGTGCACGAATTCGTGCACCGGGCCTCTAGTGTGTACAGAATTGTGGACAAGAAGGGGCCACCTGCTACCCTGACCAGCTCAAGGGAGGCCTGCATGGCGGCCTTGCAAACCCAGACACCTAAAGTCACCACAGACCAGGGCCTGCAATAAAAACATTTTTTAAAATATATTTTTTTTTATTGATTTCAGAGAGGAAGGGAGTGGGAGAGAGAGAAACATCCATGATGAGAGGGAAACATGGACCGGCCGCCTCCTGCACGCCCCCTACTGGGGATGGAGCCTGCAACCCGGGCCTGTGCCCTTGACCGGGATTCGAACCCAGGACCTCCTGGTTCCTAGGTTGATGCTCAACCACTGAGCCACGCAGTCTGGGCTGAAATGAAAACTTTTTAACTAGCTCTGGCTGGTTTGGCTCAGTGGATAGAGCGTCGGCCTACGGACCGAAGGATCCCGGGTTCGATTTTGGTCAAGGGCACGTACCTCGGTTGCAGGCTCAATCCCTGGCCATGGTCAGGGTGCGTGCAGGAGGCAACCAATCCATGTCTCTCTCTCTCCTCTCTCTCTCTCTCTCTCTCTCTCTCTCTCTCAATCAATCAATCAATGGAAAAAATATCCTCAGTGTTGGATTAACCAAAAAAGAACCCAAAAAACATTGGTTCAAGTAGCGACAGGCAGCCCGGACCCATTGATTGTCTGGTTCCAATATCACCCCAAATATTGATGATTAGAATATTGATTCTTTTTAGTCGAAAGCCGTTGAGGGGATCGCTCTGCCTTCCCCCACCCCCTGACTGATAAAAAGGCGTCGATATTTCCTTTTTGCAAAGGAAGTTTCTGTCTGTCGGAGGCACCCCCCTCTCCCTTATCAGGGGATGAAGCTGAGTGTTATCAGGGAGGTGACGTGGAGAGACTTCTACCCAGAAAACCTTTATCTACCGTTCATTTCCTTCTAACATCTTTCTTTGTTATTTTTTAAAATTGATTTCAGAGAGGAAGGGAGGGAGAGAGAGAGAGAGAGAGAGAGAGAGAGGATGGATGGATGGATGGATGGATGGATGGATGGATGGATGGATGGATGGATGGATGGATGGATGGATGGATGGATGGATGGATGGATGGATGGATGGATGGATGGATGGATGGATGGATGGATGGATGGATGGATGGATGGATGGATGGATGGATGGATGGATGGATGGATGGATGGATGGATGGATGGATGGATGGATGGATGGATGGATGGATGGATGGATGGATGGATGGATGGATGGATGGATGGATGGATGGATGGATGGATGGATGGATGGATGGATGGATGGATGGATGGATGGATGGATGGATGGATGGATGGATGGATGGATGGATGGATGGATGGATGGATGGATGGATGGATGGATGGATGGATGGATGGATGGATGGATGGATGGATGGATGGATGGATGGATGGATGGATGGATGGATGGATGGATGGATGGATGGATGGATGGATGGATGGATGGATGGATGGATGGATGGATGGATGGATGGATGGATGGATGGATGGATGGATGGATGGATAGATGGATAGATGGGAGGGAGGGAGGGATGGATGGATGGATGGATGCATGGATGGATGGATGATGGATGGATCAATACATAGAAATGGAATAGATCCCAATCTATATTATAAAAGACCAGCGGCCGTAACGCCATAACGACCAAACGACCCGTCACCAGGAGGTGGATAAATGGGTCTCGCTGGTGCGACAGGTCTGGGGTCTTCCACGATTTTGCGAGCTGGGCCTCTATTCTATAAATATATAGATTGATAATAGATGATTAATAAATGGATGGATGGGTAGATAAATGGATGGATGGATAGATAAGTGGATGGATGGATAGATAAATGGATGGATGGATGGATGCATAGATGTATGTACGTGCCCTTGACTGGGAATCAAACCCGGGACCCTTCGGTCTGCAGGCCGACGCTCTATCCACTGAGCCACGTTGGCCAGGGCTGAAATCAATATTTTTTTAAATATATTTTTATTGATGTCAGAGAGGAAGGGAGAGGAGAGAGAGATAGAAACATCCATGATGAGGGAGAATCATGGACCGGCTGCCTCCTGCATGCCCACTACTGGGGATTGAGCCCACAACCCAGGCACGTGCGCTTGACCGGATTCGAACCCGGGACCCTTCAGTCCGCAGGCCGACACTCTATCCACTGAGCCACACCAGCCAGGGCTGAAATCAATATTTTTTAAATGGGTCGAGCAGTGTAGGAATGGGACATTCCGCTAAATAAGACGGTTTTCCTCTTTTTCCCCCCACGTCTGTGTGTCTGTCGAGACCCCACGCGAGGGCTGTCCTTACCTCTGGAGTTTCCACACACACAGGAGGAGGAGGAGGAGGAGCAGGAGGGCGGCCAGGCCGTAAATCAGAACGGGTTTGGGGAAGACCCTTTCCTCCTGGCACGAATCTGAGGCGGAGCAGAAGGAGATGCGATTAGTTTTCATCGGGAAAGAGGGTCAGTCCCTTTGATTTCGGACGGGAGGATCTTGGAAAGAAATAAGGGTCTTGGACAGACACGCGACAGGGAGTGGAGGCACCACACACTGGCTTTCGGTTATCGCCTATCAGCCATGCATCCATCATCCATCCATCCATCCATCCATCTACTCAGCATGGATCTATCTGTCTATCCATCCATCATCCATCCATCCATCCATCGCCCATTCATCCATCTATCCAATATCTGTCCATTTATCCATCCATCCATCATCAATCCATCCCTCTACCCAGCATGTATCTACCTATCAATCCATCCATCATCAATTCATCCATCTATCCAATATTTGTCCATCCATCCATCATCCATCCATCTACCCAACATGTATCTGTCTATCAATCCTTCCATCCATCCATCCAATATCTGTCCATCCATCCATCCATCATCCATCCATCATCCATCCATCCATCCATCCATCCATCCATCCATCAT